ATTGTCCATATTTACAGAAATGCAACCTATATAGGGTTAAAAAATAGAACATACAGAATTTCACAAAATCTGGTTTATCTCAGAGATTTTAAAGAATTTAACTCAAATATGAAGTTTTATAAAATTTTCATGAAGATTGAGAAAATCCTGAGCCTTAACTATGATGACTCAGCATAAATTCACAGTTTACAGTATGCATGGTTTACTTAAAGCCCTGAATTCAAAATAAATCCATAATATATGCCTATTTGTGATTTAAATTGTTTAGAAGTGTTTATATTTACTCTTCGCAGTCATTGCAACTCATTAATCCTTCCTAAATAATTTTGTTGGGTTATTTTTGTCCTGTCGATAACCCAAAAGTAAGCCGTAACACCTAAATGTGTTTTTTTTGTGACCGCGGCATTAAAAAGTACAAGCTAGAATTACAAAAAGACCTCAATAAAACTTGCAATAGTGTGTTCTATCCTAAATATATACTAAATACTCCACATTGCTAGAAACAAGGAAAATATTTAGGAAATGTGAGGCCCCAGGGGGCAAAAAACAGGAAAAAAATGCCTACCCTGGGTCATAAAACAGATAATTTAACTTGTAAATGCTATGATTTTATTATTTTCAAGGTCTTTTGTAAACAAAACAATAACTGTGCTGGAAAGTTATGCAAAAATAAGATGTAAGCAGTCATTTCTATCAAACTTTTAGTGAATTTATGCACCAGACTGATATCTTCTTAAATACAATTTTGCAAATATGGCTTTGTTTAGACACTTCTAGTTCATACATTAACTAACTTATGTTAGTTATATGGTTAGAGATGATACTGTTGTGACAAGAATTCTTAACTGACCATTTGAGACAGAAATTGTGAACTTTCATTGACAAATAGGCATACAGTAAGATGTGGACTGGAGACACAGGCAGGATTGGATACTTTGTATAATCTTGAATGTTGGAATGATTAACTACTAAACAATACATTTATAGTATTCTAAAATGCTTACAATTTGTTATCAGAATAGTTTCAAACATGTTTTAGACATTTCATGTCAGAAAACATGCACATAGGGTAAGCTGGCAATGGTTAAAGTCTTGTTTTCAAATTCTTTAAAAAACTGAAACAGGGGTAGGGGTATAAAATTTACTGTAAAAGGAAACTTAGAGTATATGCAGTGATTTCCTTAAGGCTATAATTCTGATAAATAAGTATTGTTGTGAGAAAAAGTGTTTTTAGAAGGTTTTCTATTTGAATAAATGTTTGTATAGGTTGCACTTTGTAAATACAGCTGTTTCTCAAACCACGCCTCTTTTGGGGAGATATATAATATTCATAGATATGTTAATTTGTTAATGTACTGGTTCCCATTTATGATCTCTGTGTTTCATCTCATAGAGACATCACTTGGGAATGTAACCAGTATAGAAAAACATGGTAGCGCCTAAATTTTAATTCTTAGGAGGTCCAAATATGAAGGTAAGGGTAGTATAGAATTTTAGTATAAGTTTAAACTCTTAGAAGTTCAGGGCATATAAATGTTGAAAATATGCCGCACAGCCCTATATTTTGACCTTTGAATAAAATAGTAGTGCATATAAACTTTCCGTTCTGGGATATAATTTTTCACGAAACTTCATAGTAAAAGTGTCACAGTTTTAGCCGCAAAGGGAGTTCCTATGGGAAATTGCATTGTCCATATTTACAGAAATGCAACCTATATAGGGTTAAAAAATAGAACATACAGAATTTCACAAAATCTGGTTTATCTCAGAGATTTTAAAGAATTTAACTCAAATATGAAGTTTTATAAAATTTTCATGAAGATTGAGAAAATCCTGAGCCTTAACTATGATGACTCAGCATAAATTCACAGTTTACAGTATGCATGGTTTACTTAAAGCCCTGAATTCAAAATAAATCCATAATATATGCCTATTTGTGATTTAAATTGTTTAGAAGTGTTTATATTTACTCTTCGCAGTCATTGCAACTCATTAATCCTTCCTAAATAATTTTGTTGGGTTATTTTTGTCCTGTCGATAACCCAAAAGTAAGCCGTAACACCTAAATGTGTTTTTTTTGTGACCGCGGCATTAAAAAGTACAAGCTAGAATTACAAAAAGACCTCAATAAAACTTGCAATAGTGTGTTCTATCCTAAATATATACTAAATACTCCACATTGCTAGAAACAAGGAAAATATTTAGGAAATGTGAGGCCCCAGGGGGCAAAAAACAGGAAAAAAATGCCTACCCTGGGTCATAAAACAGATAATTTAACTTGTAAATGCTATGATTTTATTATTTTCAAGGTCTTTTGTAAACAAAACAATAACTGTGCTGGAAAGTTATGCAAAAATAAGATGTAAGCAGTCATTTCTATCAAACTTTTAGTGAATTTATGCACCAGACTGATATCTTCTTAAATACAATTTTGCAAATATGGCTTTGTTTAGACACTTCTAGTTAATACATTAACTAACTTATGTTAGTTATATGGTTAGAGATGATACTGTTGTGACAAGAATTCTTAACTGACCATTTGAGACAGAAATTGTGAACTTTCATTGACAAATAGGCATACAGTAAGATGTGGACTGGAGACACAGGCAGGATTGGATACTTTGTATAATCTTGAATGTTGGAATGATTAACTACTAAACAATACATTTATAGTATTCTAAAATGCTTACAATTTGTTATCAGAATAGTTTCAAACATGTTTTAGACATTTCATGTCAGAAAACATGCACATAGGGTAAGCTGGCAATGGTTAAAGTCTTGTTTTCAAATTCTTTAAAAAACTGAAACAGGGGTAGGGGTATAAAATTTACTGTAAAAGGAAACTTAGAGTATATGCAGTGATTTCCTTAAGGCTATAATTCTGATAAATAAGTATTGTTGTGAGAAAAAGTGTTTTTAGAAGGTTTTCTATTTGAATAAATGTTTGTATAGGTTGCACTTTGTAAATACAGCTGTTTCTCAAACCACGCCTCTTTTGGGGAGATATATAATATTCATAGATATGTTAATTTGTTAATGTACTGGTTCCCATTTATGATCTCTGTGTTTCATCTCATAGAGACATCACTTGGGAATGTAACCAGTATAGAAAAACATGGTAGCGCCTAAATTTTAATTCTTAGGAGGTCCAAATATGAAGGTAAGGGTAGTATAGAATTTTAGTATAAGTTTAAACTCTTAGAAGTTCAGGGCATATAAATGTTGAAAATATGCCGCACAGCCCTATATTTTGACCTTTGAATAAAATAGTAGTGCATATAAACTTTCCGTTCTGGGATATAATTTTTCACGAAACTTCATAGTAAAAGTGTCACAGTTTTAGCCGCAAAGGGAGTTCCTATGGGAAATTGCATTGTCCATATTTACAGAAATGCAACCTGTAAGCGGCGGGTGGGAGGGTAAATATTTTTTTCAACAATAAATTTCAAAAATCCCGAAACAAAGAAATATATATGAGCGTCCTGTATCCAGGTAACATGCTAACCAACCAAAATAAAGAATACTCGGAATAATTTCTTCCGAGTAATAGGTAAACAGTGATCCACGTGGTAATTATCAATTTTTTAAAACTCAAAAATTTCACAGTGAATAAATGGAAAATATAATTTTGGTATTGATTTGTCACTTAATTAAATCTCTCGATTGAAGTTGGACCAGTACCGAATAACCTTGCATATCACATTTCGAAGAGTAAGTAATAAGCTTATTTCTAGGATTAAAAACGAAATTCAAGTAAAGCAAAGCGTTTTATGATCGAACAATGTGGTGATGGTATGACGTAAATACTACACGGAAGTCTTTAAGAATGAAATTATAAATTCAACTACAATTTAAGCCGTACGCTCCACAGAGAGTCATGCATATAGTAAATAACCATGTCACTACCACAGCTCAGCTTAAGACCTCCCCCGAACATTTGAAGGTCCACACTATGTATTGGTTACCCAAACTACACAAAGACCCGTAAAATATCGTTTCATCTCGGCCTCTATTAAGTGTTCTACTACTAATCTTTCGGTGCTTTTAACGAGTTCCTTAACTACTATGACATGAAGAACTTATCATTAATTTTTGTAATAAACATACGAAAATAGTGGAATTAACCATTTTTGGAGTGTACAAAATTCTTCTTTGGATGTTTTAGATAAATTACGTGCTTTTGATTGTCCTTTTGATTCGGTTGACAGTTTTGACTTTTCCACTCTTTATACTACACTTCCACATAATCTTATCAAACAAAAGTTTTCCTATCTAATTAAATGGTTGTTTGATATATCTGATTGCAAATTTATTTGCTGCAACTCACATAATGCCTTTTTCTCAAATGAGAAAGGTAAATATGATAGATATACTTACTGGAGGTGTGATGAGATGATTAAAGCCCTACATTTTTTCCTTGACAACATTAATGTACGTTTCGGCAATAAAGTGTATCGTCAGGTTGTAATTATTCCTATGGGCACCAATTGCACCCTTTTAATAGCAGACTTGTTCCTATACTGTTATGAATCACAGTTTATGGCCAAACTCAGTAAAGAACCGTCTATATTCCATTTAATTGATAAATTCAACAACACTTACCGTTATTTTGATGATATTTTTCGTTAAATAATCAAGAATTCTCTTAATATACTGCTGAAAATTACCCAGAGTAACTTACTTTAAATAAATCAAATATTAACAGCATTAACTGTCCTTTCCTAGATTTAGATATTTCAGTATTACACCAGAAACTCTACACAAAAATTTACGACAGAAGGGATGATTTTTCTTTCCCTATTGTAAATTTTCCTTTTTTGGACGGTGATATTCCTTTGGCACCGTCTTACTGTGTTTAGATATCACCACTCGTTCGCTATGCCTGTGTCTGTAGTGACGTTTTGGATTTCAATGAACGTAATCTATGTATTGCTAGTAAATTATTAAGTCAGGGATTTCGTTACCACAAATTATTTAAAACCTTTACTAATTTTTTCCATAGATACAAAGATTTGATTTGCAAGTTTGGCTGTACCTGTAGAAAACTTATTTCAAACGGAATAGCACATCCTAAATTTTACGGTAATGTTGTTAAACTTATCAATCCTTTACATAAATCTATCCTGAAAGGTTACCTATTCAACAATGTTATTAAATCTTTGAATATTGTTTTTATCGGTATTAATATTGATTTTGTTATCAGTAAGTTAAAACCATACTAAATATTACACATATGTACTTTCACGGTACTACAATCTGTCGATACCTAGATTTTGGCATTGCACAAGGTCATGTTTTTCTGACTGCTAATGACGTCTTTACACTAAATCCATTGGATGTAAGATATGTACTGATTGATATTTTAGTCTTGGATACATAATTTTTATTATTAGTTGTTATTGGCTTTGAACTAGCCGTCAGTAACTGTGAGTACTCTCAGATCTGTACTGAGTGTCTTTTTTGTTGTTAGGGATGAGGGATGGATATATACCCTTCCACGTCCTGTCTGTGTTTTTGTTTGATGTTTTTCTTTGTATCGATCTGATGAGTTAAGCCTTTTTCAACTGATTTTTATAGTTTGTTCTTATGTTGTACTGTTACACCACTGTCCCAGGTTAGGGGAGGATTGAGCGTAAATTGTTTTGTTATAAATAAGGCCGTTAGTTTTCTCAATTGATTTGTTTCATATTTTTCATATCGGGGCCTTTTATAGCCGACTATACGGTATGAGCTTTTCTCATTGTTGAAGGTCGTACGGTTGCCTATAATTGCTTACATCCACTTCATTTGAACTTTGGTGGATGGTTGTCTCATTGGCAATCATACCACATCTCCTTATTTTTGTATTGTATTATTCCTGTGACCAAAAGCTGGTTAGCAATTATTTCCAGATTAGCCAACAAATGTAAAAGGCAATCACGGTTGGTGAGATTTGTCCGAGAGAGAATGTTCTGTGCTGGTGATTTGGTCCTGATCAGTGCTGATGGGTCCAGATTCTATCCTGGTGGGTTTGTTTATATTGTACCAGAACGACAGTACACAACCATCTTGTTGCTTATTTTTTCACTGATACTTTAACCATATATTGCAACGTTTTTTTTTATTGCAAAAGTCGTGCATATACTCAAAACGAAATTATCCTGATAATGTGCTGGTGATGAGAAGAGAAAACATGTCCTGTTTTTTGCACCTATTATCCTGGTTCGGTGCTCTTTGATTTTGAGATAAAAGTGGGAAATATTTCAAGATTATTGATGGAGAAAATGTAAGTAATGGATAGAAAAGACACCCGCCATAAATTTGATGGCTGCATTATATCCGATGAAAAAAAATAAGTCTGTTTTGTACATTTTCAATTTTGTAATAAAAAAAAAATGCGCATATAATTAGCAGATGCATGATTACCACAAAAAAACCGTGCAAAATACCATATGCCTCTGCCTTGTGGTCATAAAATATTGAAGAAGCATCCACCTAATAAAAAAAATCATCCTTTAAATCAATTTGTCTATGACTGAAAGTTCAACATGTGAAAGGCTATTTCATTTATTAAAATGGTACGCTTCAAAGAAAGATAATGACTAAACATGTGAATTTTATGTCATATTTTAGGGGGGAGGGGGGTGAAAAGTTTTACCCTATACTAAATTTTAGACAATAAATTAGAAGCAGCATCAGTATCCTTGATATCTTTTTTCTGGTAAAAAGGCTAACTTTGTTATATACCCTAGATCTTTTTTTTGAAAAAATGAATTGCAACATCACGATTCCGCGCGTAAGCAGTTTAAGTCGTCCGCAGTTTTGTAACATAAGATTGTTTGATGGAAAAGTGAGGCCGTATTCAAATACTAGTATATACATCACTTATCTTCTGCTTCAGTTGCTAAATATTAACAGGTACATTTTTAAACTCATCTAATGCAAATGGCTATGTTAGCTATTGTTATAATTTAGCACCAGTCGTCATCAGCTTTACCTAAAAAATAACTTTTTTTCTGGAACTACTCAGCTGAAATATTCAGATGATTCCTTATTGTAGTAATTGTCCATGAAAAACGATGTGTACCCATTTTAAGCATTTTTCTTCAGAAAATATAGTTGATATATACCAGAAACTGTAAAGAGCAAAATGAGATTTATAAATACTTCACATAGCTTTGAATTCTATGCGACTGTCATACAAGTGAGAGGTTTAGCTAGCTATAAAACCAGTTTTAATCCACCATTTTCTACATAAGCAAAGCCTGTTCCAAGTCAGTAATAAGACAGTTGTTTTTAATTCGTTTGATGTGTTTGAGCTTTTGATTTTGCCATTTGATAAGGGACTTTCCGATTTGAATTTTACTTAGAGTTCTCTATTTTTGATAACTTATTTTACTTTTTTGGTAAGAGCTAATGACAATGCATGACGAAATCGTCAGTTGGATCCTGATTGAGTCAATACCTTTGAAAAGCTATATTATCCTTAAAGTTTTTCCTGTGTTTTTGGCTATGTAATCTTGAAAATTATAAAAGATTGAAAGATGAACTTTGACCAGCACAGATTACACGTGTGGCTTACTACACTTGAAGACGCCGAAGAGATTACCATCGACACAACAGCCTTCGCAAACTAAGTAACTGAGCACTGGATTTAAGAAAACAACCGCCAGAAAATGAAGCATTTGAGCAACGAGGGACCACGCACCAACAATAACTTAGAAGTTTGGCACAGCAAACTAAAGAGGCACATCAACCATGTGCACCCAAGAAATCTACGTCTTACGAAAAATTCTCAACTAAACTCAAGCCAACACAGAACCCAACCAGATATAAGTATCAGATGGGGAAACTCAACGTCCCACATCCAAGAAATATCTAAACATAAACAACAGACTGTCGAGACCGAGGAACGAATTTTTCAAGCTGAACTTGCCGCCTAGTGCTTCGCCACATGGAAATTCAACAGTAGTCATCTTTAATATTAAATCTTGGAGAAACATGAACATTCCATTACAGCATGTGTTGACCTAATGGGAAATAAAGATCAATACATTTTTTTAATAATTACATTACATAGAAGTTTCATACAATTCCGTAAATCTATGTTGTGTTTTGTATGCAGTAACTGTTGTTTGGTCGTTTTTATACGACCGCAAAAAAATTTTGCGGTTATAATGACGTTGGCGTCGTCGTCGTCCGAAGACACATTGGTTATCGCACTCTAACTTTAGTTTAAGTGAATGGATCTCTATGAAATTTTGCCATAAGGTTCAATACTATAAAAGGAAGGTTGGGATTGATTTTGGGGGTTATGGTACCAACACTTAAGGAATAAGGGGCCAAAAAAAAGGCCAAAAATAAGCATTTTTGTAACTTCTAGACATAACTTGTGTGTTAGTGTATGGATCTCTCTGACATTGTACCACAAGGTTCCATATCACAAAGGGAGTGCTGGGATTGATTTTGGGGGTAATTGCCTCAAAATTTTAGGAATTAAGGGGCAAAAAAGGGAAAAAAAACAAGCATTTTTCTAGTTTCATGACAATAACTTGTGTGTAAGTGTATGGATCTTTCTGAAATTGTACTTCAAGGTTCCATATCACAAAGGAAGACTGGGATTGAGTTTGGGGGTAATTGCCCAAAACGTTTAGGAATAAGGGGCAAAAAAAGGACCAAAAATAAGCATTTTTCTAGTTTCCAGACAATAACTTGTGTTCAAGTGTATGGATCTCTCTGAAATTGTACTGCAAGGTACCATACCACAAAGGAAGACTGGGATTGATTTTGGGGGTAATTGCCTCAAAATTTTATGAATAAGGGGCCAAAAAGGTGCAAAAAACAAGCATTTTATTCTAGTTTCAGGACAATAACTTGTGTGTAAGTGTATGGATCTTTATGAAATTGTACTACAAGGTTCCATATCTCAAAGGGAAAGCTGGGTTTGAGTTTGGGGGTAATTTCCTTAAACGTTTAGGAATTTGGGGCCAAAAAGGGGCCAAAAAACAAGCATTTTTCTAGTTTCCAGACCATTACTTGTGTTCAAGTGTATGGATCTCTCTGAAATTGTACTGCAAGGTACCATACCACAAAGGGAAGGCTGGCATTGAGTTCGTGGTGATGAATCATAAGGGGGTTCAACAAATTTGGGGGGGATTTTTTTTTCCTTTTTTTTCTTTACAATTTTCCATTTTAAATTGGTTATTTCTGATTTATATATAAAAGCAAATAATACTGATATGGTTTGAATAGGTAAATTAAACAGTTTTAAGTTCTTAGACCACATTCATTCTGTGTCAGAAACCTATGCTGTGTCAAATATTTAATCACAATCCAAATTCAGTGCTGTATCAAGCTTGAATGTTGTGTCCATACTTGCCCCAACTGTTCAGGGTTCGACCTCTGCGGTCGTATCAAGCTGCGCCCAGCGGAGCATTTTATTGTTTTTTACCATGCGGCATTGTTAGTTGTTTTTCGACTTATGAGTTTGAATGTCCCTTGGGTATCTTTCGCCTCTTTTTTGATTAACTAATGCATCCAAAAGTTATATGTTATTCCCATATAAAATTCAACATCTGTGACCACGTTCTTTCCGTGACAACGTTAAAACAATAAACAGGAAAAAAAAACCCAACGGTTTGAATTTCCTCGTAGTATGATGGTTATATCATACAAACGTAATTATAAGAATTTAAGGCTTCTTTTTGTAAAGTTATAGGGTTTGAAAAAGCGTTGAACGTTTCATACTAAATATGTTTTGGTTAACGCTTTTACATCCAAATAGAATTATTAATAGAAGCTTTCGACTCTCAAATAAAAGTTTCTTCGAAGCTGCTACTAGTATTTCTGCATGTCAGTAACTGCTAGTATAGTCCTTTGTTAATGTATGTATATCATTGTCATTTTGCTTAGTCTCTTCTGTTACCTATTCGAACATCGGACTCGGACTTCTTTTGAACTGCTTTTGTTTTATAGGACCACGTTATAATAGTTTATATTGTCAAATGTTATACTAGTATTCTATTTATATATGTGTTGTAGAGAATCTGATAGTATGACGACCAGGGGGGCAGAAGAGAGAAAACGTCAGAAAAACAATCCAATACCTAAATACTCGGAACCAAATCAGGGTAATGAGCTCACAGAGGATGGAAATAGTTCAACAAATTCACAGTCGCCATCAAAAGACAGAACTAGAGACAAAAGGGGTTCTTGGGAAGGAACGGTTTTACAAGCATCAGAAGTATTTACCTTAAAAGTGTCCCTGTAAGTATAATTTGTAGAAATATTGTTTATTCAGATATTTGACAAGTTAAATTTTATTTTACATTTAAGTGTAAATTTTCATAAAAACTATTTGTCATAATTTAGGTTACAATGTAGGATCTTAATAGGTTGCAAGTTAGAATGTCGTTTTAATTCTCGGATCCTTCATGAAATTGTAAAGCTGATGAACAATAAACCTTTTTGGAAAATGGCACAAGTTAATTCGTTTTCAACTAACCATTAAAAAGTTAGAGAATACTGTGGTGGATCCAGGGGGGTTCCGGGTGTTGGAACCCCCCTTTTTTGACGATCAATGCTTTTGAAAGGAAGCATATGGTTGGAACCCCCTTTATCCTGGGTTGGAATCCCCTTTTAAAAATGGCTGGATCCGCCCCTGGAATAATGAAAAGTGTGTACCACCGGTACATGGTAAAATGGATCAAATTGAATGCTTGTGAGGAAGTTTTCGTTCTGTTAATTCCAGGTCTCAACACACAAATTAATCAATACAATACATCATAAAAGAGGGACGAAAGATACCAGAGGGACAGTCAAACTCATAGATAACGTGTGCTCTCGTTAATTAGGAACTATATCAATATTTTAACTCTTGATTGAATTATTTTACAAAGGGATATTTTAATCCGTTGCCCAAATGTCAACACTAGAATATTCCTTGTTAAAACTTTAAAGTAGAAAGTATGCTTATATAGCTTGCTGTTCGGTGTGAGCCAGGGCTCCGTGTTGAAGGCCGTACTTTGACCTATACTTATTTATTTTTTACGCATTGTGACTTGGATGGATAGTTGTCTCATTGGCACTCATACCACATCTTATTTATATTAGACTACGATTTAGATTCAATTCAATATCAATTTTAAAAAATGCAATAAGTGTGGGTTATCATTAGACCTTATTGTATATAGGATACCAACATTGATTATTTAAAATATAATGTGACATACTAACTTTGTGGGTTAATTCAAATCCTTCTTTAAAAAAAAAAATCAAAAACTACCATAATATCGAAATTTCGAAATTTTGTCATTAATATTTGACAACATGTATAAACAACAGCCTTACCACAACGGACATCTTGTTGCATGACAAAAATGTTCGATGGTTGAAGAATTGTATGTATCCAAGAACAGATGCAATAACGGAGTTATTTCATGAATAGAGCCAATATTTCTTCTAGGGTATAACTCGAAGACGGTTTACCTAGGAAACGTTTTCAATTATCAGAAAAATCAGATATGGGTTTTGAGTTGTAGATCTTTCCACTAATACGAAAGAGTCAAGTGTATGAATTTTCTACTAAGTTTCTTTCATTTTAACTGCACCTTCCTACGACATATTCATTGATAATCGCGTGATTGGGCATTGTGGATCAAACGTATTAATCATGTCCAAAACATCTGAAGTAGAAAAAGAACAAACATAAAATACAGCGAAAAAAAAACCCATTTCATAACAGTTTGTAAATACCCAGCTCACGGTAAAGTATAGTTCACACAATGCAAACCTATATTTGTTCCGAAATAATTATGTGATCGTGAATGGTGAAAAACTGTCTATTACAGAATATATATATATATTCTGGAGTGATAACATAAGGCATTTCTCTAATTTTGTCGTGCATTTTCATTTTCTGATCATGAATAAGTTTTAATGTGAGACTCTCTATTTTAAACCACGGAATTGCCAACCGTGATGATCCAGGGCTATAAGAAATGCTTGGTTTGCAACAAAAACATGTTCAGGTACTATGTGAGGAAGATCCCTATGGATTCTGAGGTCAATATTTAAAGGTGATAGTCACTATAAATAAATAGAAAAGGCGTTTCCCGATCATATGTCCAGGACTTAACATAGGCTGGAACTAAACTTAGATATATGGTAACATACAAGGGGAAGGACATTCCTATCGATGTTTGTAGATCATCACGTCAAAGGTTCATATGCCATTTACAATTGAACCAAGATTTCTCTTTTTACGTTTTACTAACGCCATAATGATTTGGTTGACCGTTATGGACTATATTTGTCACAGATTACCACGGATATAGGTCCCACTTGCTGTTGCCGCTATTTCATTTTCTTTTCCTCTTTAACAAAATCACCGAATGCGTTAACCATCGAATGTTTACTTGATATATGAAGGGTTTTGATCATTGTTGAACTTGTTTGCTAGATGTTGATGTGCACTTAATATATATAAAAAACATTGTTTTAATTTTTCTTATTTAATTCTGTTCATATTTAAGTTCTTGTCGTTGTGCTTGAAATGTATGTTCGGTTTTATTGTTCTTACATAGTAGGTGTGAAAAAAATCCACACAAACATGAATAGTTTTTTGTAATCCCAATTCGAAAATGCAAATCAAAGAGTTGTCGCAAGAAAAGAATAATACACTTCTTCATGTTCATTGGCCCGAACCGGAGTACATACATAGAAAGAATATATATATATATGAATATATTGACTTGGAACTGGAATATGTTTTTCAGATATAAGAATTGCAAGTGATATATTTTATCAATCATCTTTTCAGACCTGCTGTAGTGTTGATAATAGCTTTGGGAATGTACGTAAGGAATGTTGAAAACTACTATGAACATAAATTTGAGGTGTTGATGAAATATGAAGATTATTTGGAAAAGTTAGAGACACTTACAGAAGAAGTTCCATCTTTAGGAGACAGTTTATCTGAACTCAAGAAACGATTAGTACCAATGGATGAACGTGCAGTTGATATTCTAAAAGAAATAAAAACAGCAAACGATAACTTAACAAACATAGAAATGAGAATAGGCTCAATATCGGGGATCAGTAGTAAACTGGAAGTCGATTTACCAAAACAACAGGAACAATTTACTGAATTTACAAAAAAACTTAACAAAACGGATATTGATATTTCCAACTTCTCAAAAGATATTGACTCAATCATTGATAATACGACCGATATTAAGAAAAAACTTGAAATGGCATTTCTAAATCAAACAAGTCTTAATGGTTTGCTTAACAAAACAACTGCAAAAGCGGAATATGTCAACTCATCTGTCTCTAAAGTCCATACAATAATTACTGAAATCAATAAACATTTGCCCACTTTAGAAAATATGAACAAAACTGTTAATTTGATCATGGGCAGTTATCACCTTCTTCCTCTACTATTAAGGAGACTTGACGAAAATAAAGATCGAGCTCATGGTTTAGAACTGGAGGTAAATGAGACCGAGACAAGATTTAAAGATATAAAGGAAAAATCAGAACGTGTAAGTGAAACTGTTTCTCAAGCTATGGAAAAACAGACAGATATTGAAAAGAAAGTAAAGGTATCTAATGACGATATAACAAAGCTTCAACAAGATATGTCAAAAACTGACGAAACCGTAAAGAATAGATTGACAAAATTAACAGGAGATTTTGACACCTCAGAAGTTAAATTTTTAGATATGACAAGCAAACTAGATAATAAAATTTCAACAACTGATGGTCGTATTGGAGAAATGGTTGACAAAGTAGATAGATACAGCGGGAAACTTGAACATTTTAAAAGTGATGTGGTTTCACTCAGCGATGATGTTAAGAAGATGAAACCAACCTTAGAATACACAGGCTCTAAGGTCCAGGAACTTGATATACAAGTTAGAAATCTGCAGTCACAAAATAAGGGTATGTCTTTTCTATAACATTTGTACCATGTCATAACGTTTAAACGTTTTTTAGAAACTATATGATTTTTGAAATAAGTAAATATAAATGAGTGTTATGAAGGTGGAATGAATCGTCACAGTTTGATTTTCATCTTCAAAATCTGATAATCTGCATCTCGATCAATGATAAGATTACAGAGCTTAGTCTCTGAAAAAAATGAAGCATTTATCCATGTCTCCTGGAATATATACTCCAATACAATCTTCAATCAGCATTTCAAATCTTATTGAATTGCTTTAATTGTCGTTCAAATAGTTGTCCTTATTTAACATATAATTTATCATTTTTGTTTTGCACTAATCATTCATGAATTTATGATGTTTATCGTAGGATTTAAATTCGTGGTTATTCTAAACAGTTATTATTTGCAGTTTGCAAACCGTTTTTGTTTGTATCGTAAATTTGAATCTGGAATTCGATTCCTTTTATGATACTCAATAATCTTGATCACAGAGGCAATTTAGGATTCCCCTACTCCATAACACTTATCCAAACTATTATCCAAACTTGACTTAAATTATTTTTCTTTTCCATATATGATATCAAACTTCAAAAATATCTTTGTTAAAGCGATGTTTAGCAAACTTGTTATGATGTTCCACTTAATATCAATCTACGATTCTATCTACCATTCTTTCTACAATAAAACAGAGGCGAAAGATACCAGATGGACATTCAAACTCATAAGTCGAAAATAAACGGACAACGCCATGGCTTAAAAAAGAAAAAGACCAACAGACAACTAATAGTACACAAAACACAACATAGAAAACTAAAGACTGAGCAATACGAACCCCACCCGAAACTAGGGATGATCTCAGGTTCTCCGGAAGGGTAAGCAGATCCTCCTCCACATGTAACACCCGTCGTGTTGCGCATGTTAGTACAAACCCGGTAACAAGTCTATTTCGGTAGGTCACATTCGGGAAAAGGGACGGGATTGTAGCTACGACATTAAGAAACGTATTGAGTTAAGCCATTTCAATTGATATTTTATAGTGTGTCTTTCTATGTTGAGATGTTACACTATTATGTCAGGTTACAGTGAAGGTTGGCGCCTGTTAAAACGTGTAAACCCGTTGCATTTGTTTGCACCTGTCCTAAGTCAGGAACCTCTTGTTCAGTGTTTGTCGTTTGTTGATATGGTTCATAAGTGTTTCTCGTTTTTTTCGTTTTTTTAAATGGATTAGACCGTTGGTTTTCCTGTTTGAATGATTTTACACTAGTCATTTTTGGGGCTCTTATAGCTTGCTGTTCGGTGTGAGTCAAGGCTCCGTGTTGAAGGCCGTACTTTGACCTTTAATGGTTTACTTTTACACTTTGTGACTTGGATGGTGAGTTGTCTCATTGGCACTCATACCACATCTCCTTATATCTATATATCCGCTATCAACTATGAAACAGATATTCCATAACGGTCAACCAACTCGTGATGGCGCCCGTAAAACTTACGAAGGGATGATTTCAACTTCACCACTTGGAACTCTTGGTTTAATAGCAGCAACCCTTTATCAAGGAAATCATGATAGGAAAAACAAGCATTGGAATATCGTATCAACTGGGAGATATATACTCCCGATTACAGGCGCTGCTAGAATGTTGCTACATAGAAATGGAAAGTTCACAATTGGGAAGCTGAAATCATCTCTTTTTTCGTAAAGTTTAATTTTCAACCGACAATCATTGTCAATTTATAGATGTAAGGCAAGATATGAGGCAAACTTAACTGTCTGTTGCATCCTTTATCTCAAGTTCGATGGGATAGATGCGTTCAACATAGTCACCAAATTTTGAATTATTTAGTGAGAGAACATCATCTATATAGCGGAAAGTAAAGTTAAAGGATACTGCTAACTTCTTTTCTTTCTTCCTAAGAAGTTCCTATATGAAGTCAGCCTCATATAAATAAAGGAAAAAGTCGACAAGAAGAGGGGTATAGTTGGCTCCCATAGGAATGCCGATTATTTGTTGAAAAACACGTCCTCACAACGTAACAAATATGTTGTCAATCAAGAAATCGAGCATTTTGATAATGCCAGTTTCAGAGAATATTTTTTTTGAATCAGAGTGATTTTTTACAAAGTAGGATGTATCCATCCCTAAGACAAGATACTTGTATCTACGTTGGCCATTTTTTGTTAATGAAACAAAGCAGGACCAACTCTTTCAATTTTTGTTTTTAGTTTGGAATCCACCAGGAATATGGCGATGAACTATACACAACCAGCGGTGTCAATCAAATGTGCATTCAAAACAAATCTAAATATCTACTTAAACATAATCATTTATTACAATTTTTCAGTAATACCCTATGAGTTTTTCTGAGGCAAAGGGTTCATTGAGCTTTTCTCATCACTTGGCGTCCGTCGTCGTCCGTTAACTTTTACAAAAATGTTCTCCTTCAAAACTCTAGGCCAATTTCAATCAAACTTGGCCACAATCATCATTTTGGTAATCAGTTTCAGAAATGTGTCTGATGACCTCTCCTCCCAACCGAAATGGCTAAAAATTGAACATAGAGGTAAAGTTTAAGTTGTTTCTCTTATCTCTAAAACTGCTATATATAGACAAAAGCCATAATAGATAAAGTAAACTTTCAAAAGTAAACATGATCAGCACGACAACATCAACAAATTTGTCAAATGGCCGATACAGTGTCTTTATAGGGATTACTGCTCCAAAATGATTTAAAAGTATTAGATAAATAAAAATTACAATTAGCGTGACAAGATCTGCAAATATCTCTACATGGCCGAAATACACGAGTTTCCAATTTCTATTTTATGAAGGGTCATTTGGGGGGAAAACGCGTCATATGACATTGTGTTTAGTGTGACGTCCATTTTCACTGAACTAGTACTCATTTTGTGGGGGGCAAGCTGAAGCCCGCCTCCTGGTGCGGGATTTTCTTACTGTGTTGAGCACCCATTGATGGCATTGGGCTGTTTTCTGCTTTTTGGTCGGGTTGTTGTCTCTTTGACACATTCCCCATTTCCCTTCTCAATTTAATGACATGGTATTTGCTTTGTGACGTCAAAGGACAAGGTACGATAAGCCCCCGTTTTGGCCCCCCTATTTTCTCATTTTTCAAATTTTGTTTTGGAAAGCTACTTATTATGTTGAAATATTCCCTTAGGTTTGAAATTTGTTTGGATGAACTTCAAAACCACTAATTTCAGCAACTGGGTGAGGTGAGGATGGTGAAAGGGCATCAAAAACGCCAAAAGTAGGAAAAATTACGATTTTTGACCTGTGTTTCTTAAAATTTAATAGCGTGCGCCTACGTGACCCGGAGAAAATTATGGCGATCTAGACAGCAAAAACAGTGATAATGACATTGTAATAAAAAAAATCCTGGGTCACGTTGGCGCAGGCACTTAAAAACTAAAAAATCGTTGTACGGAACACCTCCAAAGTGAATAATAATTAAAGTATCTGAATAATAACGGAAAGTTTACCCCCCTCACCTCACCCAGTTGCTGAAATTAATGGTTTTGAAGTTCATCTAAACAAACTTCAAACCTCAGGGAATATTTTAACATGATAAGTAGCTTTCCAAAACAAAATTTGAAAAATGAGAAAATAGGGGGCCAAAACGGGGGCTTATCGTACCTTGTCCTTTTCTGGGAAAAAGCACCATTTTAAAGAGCATGTTTTTGAGTTGACTCCTTATAGGAGTTTTTGCCCTTAAATAATGAATTTTAACCAGCTTTTGCCTATTATACAAACTATATAATAGGTACTAGTAATGACAAATGTTGAGCAAAAACTATCAACAAGACAACATCTACAAAATTATAGGTCAGCATATCGGAAATTGTCAGTCGACTCCTTATAGGTGTGATTGCCCTCAATTGACGATTTTACTCATTGTTTGCATTTTGGACGAAAAGCTATAATAGATAGAGAAAACATCAAACATCATAAATGATGAGCAATACAAGATCTCCAAATAAGGCACATTACTGAAATTGTCAAATGACTCCTCAAATCATGATTTAGACCTGTTTCATTTGTTGGGAGATAAAGAAGATAAATAGAAATTAGATTAAAGAATAATACAAGATGTACTTTATATATATATTAGATCAACATAAAAGAAATAGTAATTCCACAAGGGAGAGTTTTTTTTTAGGTTTTAAATCTGAAGACTTTTCGAATGAGCTACTGCAGTCATCCTAGTTAAAGCGCAATATTCTTTCGTGCATCCTTTTTATTTTATCTGTATTAATTTTGCTTTAGAAATGCAAGGATAAAAGAAAACAGTTGAAATTTGATAAAATAAATGAATGATAAATTATTACTTTTCCCAGTCTGTTTAAATATTTACTATTACCGCTTATCAATAAATAATCATAATAACCATGTTGTCAGTAGGCAGTTGCTACGATTATGTTGAAATGTAACAATAATAAAAAAAGTTATTATAACGTTGGACGCTTATTGCCGGAATGAATTGTTGGGTAAAGAACCGTTTAATTACGAAAGTAACAATACTATAAGTCTACAAGTACGTCGCGTTATTGGTACACCCAGTATGTGCTTTTGGGAGCATGTTTAATCACCCTTTTAATGTAAATGCCATTCTGTAAATGCCATTCTCTTCACGATAAGTATGTTGTTGTTCCTGCGGACAAAGCTTCAAATAATATTGTTTTTGTATGTAAATCGTACTACTACGAGTGTCTTGTAAAAGAATTAGGAATAAATGAACACTCAGGTAATCCCACATACAAAAACATATCATATGACAAGGATGAGTTTATGGCGAATCATAAGTCCTTTATGGCTTTATGAGCATTACACGGAACAGCAAATCAGAGGACTTACCTTGTTTGTATTGGATACCTAAGCTTCACACAATTCCGTGCAAACAACGGTACATTGCCTGCTCATCTGCATGTTCGACGAAAGAAGATTGACAAAAATTCTGTCTGCAGTGAAAGAGGGTCTTCAGA